GTACTGGCTTCTTATTTGCAAAAACAGCTTTCTAGTGTACCAATTTATATGAATAGCCATATGCTGAGGCTGGTACTATACGTTTAGGAAAGCAGTCGTGATTGTGCCACACAACTCTGCCTCCTTAGGACAGTGGCCTGGTTCTTTGAGATGACGTGTCTATCTCCTCATTGCTATCATCACAACTTCCTCCTCCTCCAAAAGAAGTTCGTTTACCATCCCTAGCCCAGATGAATGTATGCTGATTGGTGGGAGATTGTGGAATGAAAGTTATTGGCCTCTGTGTGGAGTGAGAGCTATGGTAATAATGGTTGTAAGAGTGGGAATGTCTGTAGTACCCCAGATGAGAGGTGGGGTCAAGGTACCTGGATGCATGAAGATTGAATCTTGCATCTGAACTATTGGAAATGGACCCTTCTGGAGCAGTTGGATGTTTCGCATGCTAATTTTTATTTCTAGGTTAGACAATATTCTTTCCTGGTTGGTTTTAAGTTGTTAAATTAGGCTTGTTTATTTGTATTATTTTATACAAACAGGTGTGGGTTGATATTTTTATATTGATTGATTGATAATATTTCTAACTGATGATATTATTTCTAATTGTTTCTACATATACATACACACAGAAAAAAAGAGAATTGTTCTCGTGATATGTTGTGAGCCACTTCATTATTATTATTTTTATCTTTATTGCAAAACATACAACACAAATAGACAAAAACAATACCACAGTGACAACTAAACTTTAACTTACTACACATCATCTAACATTACACATATTTTTTACTTCCGAATCACCTCGTTGTGCTTTCTAAATATTCTTAACCTATACGCACTTCCTGTTATATCAATTACATATCAAGATTCCCCCCCCACATTTATAATTTTCTTTAATATTTAAGATTCAATCTATACCTGTCAGGAGATTTGCATTTTCACAATATTGTTTTAAATATTATTTAAGTATTGTCCATTCTATGCTCACTTTCTGATTTGAGTTTCCTTCCTCTTATTTTCCCAGTCATTTTCGCAAGTTCCAGGTACAGTGGTACCTCGGGTTACATATGCTTCAGGTTACATACGCTTCAGGTTACAGACTCCGCTAACCCAGAAATAGTGCTTCAGGTTAAGAACTTTGCTTCAGGATGAGAACAGAAATTGTGCTCCGGTGGCGCGGCAGCAGCAGGAGGCCCCATTAGCTAAAGTGGTGCTTCAGGTTAAGAACAGTTTCAGGTTAAATACGGACCTCCGGTATGAATTAAGTACTTAACCCGAGGTACCACTGTATGAGCAAGCTGACATACCTTAAACCTTCTTTTCCCATTCATTTTCACAAGTTCCAGGTATTCTATCATCTTCACCTGCCAGTCAAGCTTGTGTTGTGAGCCACTTTGGGCACAATTTTGTCGGAAAGTGGTATACAAATAAACTGATAATTATGACGATTGCAGTCACCACCTGCCTCTTGCCAGGCAGAGAGCCAACGAGCAAGCAAGCAAGCAAGCAAGTAGCAACATCTCCAGCTGCTCACTGCTGTTACCTGCATCAGAACAAACGACAGATAGACTTGCAAGCATGTCACCATGGTGAAGAGAACAAAAGTCCTGGCAAATGTGGCCATTGAAACGTGGGACCTCGGCACATGCCTGGTCATGCTGGCCCTGACATCAACCCTGTGTGCAGCGGGAGCTCTCATTCAACAGGAGGCCTTTCTCTTGACTCCCACCACCCTCACAGGCATGCCTGGTGAGGACACTGAAAAAGGGTCTTCTTGGTGGCTGCCCCCAGGTTCTGGAACTCCTTTCCTGGAGACGCTAGACAGGTTCCCTCCTTGTTGTCCTTCCACCAGCAGGTGAAGACCTTCTTGTTCCAAGAGGCTTTGGGAACTGACTGTTTTTAATGCCCGGGCTGGTGCCAGGCAGCTTTTATTGTAATTATTTGTATGTTTCAAACAGATTTTTATATATGTAAGCAGTTTAAATTCTATTGATGTTTAATGGTTCACAATGATTGTTTTACCTCCCTTTTGTTTGTAGAGATTCTTGTTTTTATCTGTAAGCTGCCTTGAGTCCCATCAGGAAAAAAGGTGTGTTATAAATAAATATATAACTACAACAGAATGGACAAGTTGCTATCGAGTGGCTGGGGAAACCCAACCAGATGGGCGGGGTAGAAAATAATAATAATGGGCAGGATAGAAAATAATAATAATAATAATAATAATAATAATAATAATAATAGAAGCTTTTAATGTTTAATAGGTTATTGTATTTTTAGTGTTCTGTTGGAAGCCATCCAGAGTGGCTGGGGAAACCCAGCCAGGTGGGTGGGGTATAAATAATAAATTTTTATTATTATTATCATCATCAGCATCACCATCATTATTATTAATAATATTTTCATTTAAAGCCAGCTTGCTTTCCTGTTCAGCCAAGTGATTGGCTGCAGGGCAGGGGTGAAATCACACACACAACTGGCTGCATGCATGCTTATTTCTCTGTACCTCCAGCCATTCTATGTATATTTAGGATATTTGGGATATTTAAATAGGCCTCTTAATAACTGGAAGCAGGCCTGTCTTACAGTTCTCTTATCTCCTCAGCTGTTGCCTGAGCAAATGCTCGCTAATCTTTTTTCCCCTCCCGATTTCCTCTTCCAGGAACACTCTGAAGTTTCTCTTGCGTCTGCCAAGGTTTTGCTCTTTCCCTCTTAGTGGGACTGCTGTGCTAACACCGGTGTGAAATAAGTAGAAAAGAAGTGCTTGTTTATGCACAGCGGTTGATTGTCATTTTGGCAAGCTGCGTGCGATGGGACGGGCCTTGTTTAACGCGTTCGGAAAAGTTTTCCTTGAGACAGCCAGAAACTTTTCTTCTTCTTCTTTTTTGCAAGTGCTCTTTTTCTCTAAAATCAGACCTCAAGCGGTGCAGTGCGCCATAAGTATTAAGCATCTTCAAGTATTTTAAAGATTCTTTTAAATCGGGTACTATCAGGAGTGGGGCATGTGGGAAAATAATTTTCACCATGTGGACATAGGACACGGTGAGATGGGCTGAAGGTTGCTGTATCTCAAAAATGAATTTCTTATGTATGCAAAGCTGAAGTAGTTATGCTTTCAATAATTCCAACAACAACAACAACAACAACAATGCATCTTTTGAATATTCATTCACTAGTGATTTTCTGAATATTTATAGCAGGAGGGAAGGGATTTGAAATAATTTATTTATTGTACTCTACCACTGTGGGCAGCGTCCAACAGTATATGAAAGAACAAAACAAAACAAAACATCACATATTAAAAGCTTCCCAATACAGTTGTACCTCTGCTTACATATCCGTCTGGATATGTAAACTTTGGGTTGCGAATGTGGCGGGTTTTGCTGTGCGCGCATGCGCAGAAGCGCTCTGTGCACCACACGCGTGCGCAGAAGGACACCTCCAGTTACGAAGTTTTCAGGATGCAGCCGGGCCTCCGGAACGAATCCCGTTCGTAACCGGAGGTACCACTGTATATTATTGTTGTTGTTGTTGTTGTTATTTATTATTATTATTATTATTATTATTATTATTATTATTATTATTTTGTATATCACCCTTCATCCAAAGATCACAGGGTAGTTAAAAAACATAAAAATGAAAACACAAAATACATAGAAAAATGAAAGCAAAACAAACCAATAACACCCTCTCCTGCAGACACATTTCAAAGGCCATAGACTGTTAATCAGCCAAACGCATGGTTGAAGAGAAACGTTTTCACCAGGTGCCTAAAGATATGTAATGAAGGTGCCCGGTGAGCTGCTTTGGGGAGAGCATTCGACAAATGGGGAGCAACTGCAGAACAGGCCCATTCCAGGGCTGCCACCCTCTAGAGCTCTCATGGGGGAGACATATGAAGAAGGGCCTCATTAGGCAATCACATTTCCACCTGCCTTGCCCCTCCCTGCCTTTCCCACACTATGACAATAGCAGAGGAGTTCAGGGGTGTTTTTTAATAATAATAATAATAATAATAATAATAATAGCCTTATAAGTTGTGCATCTTTGTTTCTCAATTTGATCCTTTTACATGGTTGTGTATGTTTTGTGGTATTTTATGCATTGTGATTTGCTGTTACTTCTATTAATTATAGATTGGTAATTCTTTATTGTGGTTGATAAGTGTGAGTTGTTTATTAATATTATTATTTGTTGATGTTTAATTTTACTGTTAGATTTTGATATATTAATATTGCTTTATTTGATATAACTTGTTTGTTTTAAAGTTATTGTGACTTTTATATTGGATCAGATTGTTGCTATTAATGTTTGGTGTATTATTGTGTTTCTATGTGTTGTCCAGTGTGAGGATGCTGGACTCGATGTACCTCTGATCTGATCTAGTGGTTGGTCTCTGTGTGTGTGTCTATAGCTCTATAATGTTAAAGAGAAAGTGAGCTGTTTGGTACATGGAATTCTTTAATATATGTTTTTGTGACCAGGGAAAATTGTCAAGTGAAACTTATTATGTGACACCTGCAAGAATCATCTTTTTTGTGAAAAGCTGGTTGACTTGAAACCATCTCCATGCTGATTAAAGTCAGGCAAAAAGCCCAAATCCCCAAGTAGTAATTTAACAGCTTGAAAAATGGAAACAGGGCAGAACTGAAGGGGGAGTGGCGGGCTGAGATTTCAAAATGAAACTAAATGTAGCACCAAAGTTAAAAAGTATGCCTAACTTCCTTTTGTAGGTCTTTTTAGTGAAGATCTTTAACATACATCAAGGAAGGAGAGTTGCGTTTGCAGATTCCGTTGCCTTCACATGTGCAAGGCTATGATAAAGAGGCACTTGTTCCTAATCCGTCACACCCTGTCTCATGGTCACCTCAGGCTACGGAGAATTTTATCTGTGCCACCAGCTTTGCTTGAATAAAAAGATGTATCTAGCCCTCATGGTTGTGAAGGAAATGCTCAAAACATGACTGCTGTTTTGTTTCGCTGAGCAAAACATCCCCATTTGGAGCCACTCTCGCTACACACAACTTATTGGGATCACACTCACTGAAACAGGTATGTTATTTTTTTGTCGCCGTTGCTGCAATTGCAGTGGGGGAAAGGCACCCCTGCTATATGCATTCGCCTCACAAAGTTCAGAAGCCCCATCTACCTCAGCAGATGTCGACCGTAGAGTAGAGCCCCCTGCAAAGGCAGGGAAAGTCCTAGCCTGGTTTATTAACATAGCTTCATTAGAATGCACTGAGCAGCCTTCCATTTCCTCTTCTTCCTTTTCCCAAGCAAGAAAACATCACAGACGACTTTCCACCACATGTTTGTTAATATAAAAATTACCATATCAATAACATGCCATTACCAGAGGAAGGTTGTCCGTCTCTGAAGGTTTCACATCATTGTCAGGCCAGATCAGAAGCACGTCTTGGTCCAGGGTGGTTTCCCCTTCTTCCTCTCTTCTTTTCTGCCCACCCCCCCCATCTTCAGTTTGCCACAGTGCGGTTTTTCTTTTTTCTTTTCTCCTTGGCATTTGTGCAGCATCGAGGCACTCAAGCCATGTTGAACCCACAGATTGGGTGGGGAGAACTCCCAGCTAAACCCCCTGGTGGAAAGTGAAGAACTTCCAAGCTCTGAACTAGAGACTGTGGGACACTCAAACCTTTCTGATGGGGGAACCTGAATTGTCCCACCAAATGTCCACTTACTAAACTATTGTAATAGGAAGCAGAGTGGTAGAACATTGGCTTTGTGTGCAGAAGTGTCCAGGTTCAATTATGCAGGTAGGGGTTGGAGAGAACTCTGGCTGCAGAGCTACGGCAAGTCAGTGTAGACAATACTGAACCAGGTGGGCTAATGGGCCAACTCAATCTAAGACAGCTTCCACGTAGGGCTACCTTTGAAGACGGTTGAGAAGCTTCTGATGGTTTAAATTTGAGCTGTCAGCATGTTTGGGAGAGCTAGGTGGCAGTAGCGAATGGTGGGGCGGGGTAGTGGTGCTCACCTGATCTCCTCATCACTGAGTTGCTGCTGCCTGCCAGGAAGGAGAGGATGAAGGGCGAGGTGGTGGGGATCTGGCACAGTGCAAATGCACCAAGGGAGCCAATCTGTTCTTTTGATTTGCACCATGTTGACCTTCCTCTTGTCCCACCCCTTCCCCTCTCCTCCCCAGTAAGCAGCAACAACACCACTGTTGGGAGGTCAGGTAAGCACTGTTGCCCTACCACTGCTACTGCTAGGCAGTGTTGATGATATTGCATAAGTTTTGCATCAGTTGCGTGTGGAGGTCCCCCAAGCCACCCCTAAATAATTCACAATTCACACATAATTTTTGTTTAAGGTTTTTGGCATAATTTTGGCCACAACTTTATTAAAATACATAAATGTGAGTGGTTGCTTAGGCATTGGTTATGACTATCTGTCCCCACACCCGGGAACAGAACTGACTTCCAGAGTCCAGCGAAAGCCAGTAAGGGAAAACAATATTGGGGAGAGCATGGAGCCAGGCACCAGACGCTCATCCCCCCCCCCATGCTCCCTGGGGCTTGCACGGCCCTAAGCCCTCTTCAGGGGTACGGCTGAAAGAATGGCAAGCCCCTGGATTCCTTTAACGGAATTCCCTTTCCGCAGCAGCATTGGAGGGGCAGGCACTGCCAATCCTTACCCCTCCACCAACCAATTTTTTAACCAATGCCTAACTGCAACCTTACAAGTTGTGACGATTTGCTACGCAGTAGGCAAAAACCAAATGGTACCAGCCAATCAGCTGATTGGACAAAATTGCTACCAGGCCCCTGCCCCAAAAGCAGACGACTCCATGGCAGGCATAGCAAGGTCCACGCAATAGCCCTAGATTAGGGGGTGGGTGGGCGGGTGATTCGAAGCACGCAGCAAAAGAGCCCAGTCAGTGCTTCGTGACTTGATTTTATAACCTTTGGTCCATCCCCCTAAATAGCAACACCAAAATTTGCCCAGAAACCCAACCGCCCAATCACTGCGGATGGTCATCCATACTAACCCGCCCAGGAACAGAGGGGGGGCTTGTCAGACCCCACCGAAACACGTGCTCTCTATGAAGGAGAACATGCTTTACCAAACTCAGATAGCACTTTAAGATGCTACTACTTTCCTTTAAATTCCTGAAGGCTTTGGGTTCAGGTCATTTGAAGGAAATGACCTTAAGACCTGGTGCAAACCAGGAGCAAGGCACTTTGGCACTTTTAGGTGTCAAAACTCTCAGCTTTTTGCTGAGTGTTGTAGTGCTGCGCCAAAAATCTCTCCTGTGCTTTCACCACCACCATGATTCCTCGTCAAGAAACTGCATTTCAAAATCATCAAAGGAGCAGGGATCTGGGTGAGATTCTTATGAGTGGGACGTGGGGTTTTTGTTTCAATTACAGAGAGGTGTTTGTGAGCGTCCTTCCTTACATTCAACAAATCATCTACTCGCTCTTCAACAGTATCAGGTGCCTGGTCTTACAGAAGAGGCCAACCAATAGTTTTCAGGGGTTTGGAAGAAGCATAGGCTGGGAATGTTGCAGCCAGCCAATAGCTGGTTGGAGGGTGGAAGAAGCCAGCTGCTCAGACACACCACCTCTTAAGTAAGATAACTTGTCCAAAATGAAAATATGAAAGGCAACTTAGAAAGACACGGGATTAAAAAGCAAAACGAAACAGCAGCCTCTTTTGCAGGGCCAAAGAAACCCTGGGTTATTTATTTATTTTACATATTTATGAATTGCCTATAACCATAGATCTCTAAGCGATTTATAGCAGAGTAAACTACAGAATAACATACGTTATAAATAAGAGAGTAGAGTACTAAAACTGACCAGATAAAATTAATGTTCCGGAAATGCTTGCTGAAATAAAAAAATGTTTTCATGGCACGTCGAAATCCATGCATCTGTTGGCATCTGCCTCACCTGCACAGGGAGGGTATTCCATAATGCAGAAAACTACTATGCTTAATACTTTATTTTGCATACATCTATAGAGGTTTGATTTCTATTTAGAAAATGGAGGGCAAGATTCAGCACAGAGCTACCAACCCCACAACTTGTGGTATTCTGTCTCATACGAACTCTACTTCACAAACCCCTCTTGTAAAATCATTTCATCAGTGGCTCCCTGTTATTAATGTTATTAATCTGGTGTCATTTCCCATGGATTACCCTTGTTTCATTGCTTTTTTCCGTTTTTATTGTAAGCCTTCTTGTGAGGGATTCTCTTAAAGGCAGGGTAGAAATATGTGAAAGAAGTAAATGTGGTCTTTCTGAAGTCTGCTTCCGTGCTTTGGAGCTGCTGTTGGAGACGGCAAAATTTACAAACCAAAGCCAGTCATTGATGCAGGACTGGGGATCCTCTGACCCACAGGCCAGTCTTGGTCTGCCAAGGGGGTCCAATTTGGCGCATGGGGTCATTTCCCACCAACCATGCTCATCTGTCAACAGCTGATGTCTCCAGGTGATGTGAGCTAATGGGAGGGGAGGGTTCAATGCTGCTGGGTGCTGGGTGCTGAATGCACTGGCAAGCAGAGCCCCTCAGAGAGCAGGACTGAGTCTTCTAGGAACTGTTTCAATAGTGTGTTCCCATCATGGTGTCGGATAATTGACAGGAGGGTGGCTTCACTCAGCTGTCACTCATGTCCCACAGGACGTGAGGAGATAAACATCTGGCCTACTTGGACAGAAAAGATGTCCATCGCTAGACTATAGCTCTCATTCATCCTTACTATTGGCCTCACAGAGTGAAGCTAGGGATGGATGGACTATTCAAGTCTCCTGCATTCCAGTTTGCAATGAAGACAGGACTAAATCCATCCTGTCCTATCTGCAGGTGGATTTTTAATGGCTAATTCTAACAAACAGGAACACACATTAAGCAAACATTTCATACATAAACGGCCTCAGTTCAGTATACTTGAAGGAGCGTCTCCACCTCCATTGTTCTGCCCGGACACTGAGGTTCAGCGCCGAGGGCCTTCTGGCGGTTCCCTCACTGTGAGAAGCGAAGTTACAGGGAACCAGGCAAAGGGCCTTCTTGGTAGTGGCATCCACCCTGTGGAAAACCCTCCCACCAGATGTCAAAGAGAACAACAACTACCAGACTTTTAGAAGACATCTGAAGGCCCTGTTTAGGAAAGCTTTAAAGGTTTAATAGGTTATTGTATTTTAGTGTTTTGTTGGAAACTGCCCAGAGTGGCTGGGGAAACCCAGCCAGATGGGCGGGGTATAAATAATAAATTATTATTATTATTATTATTATTATTATTATTCCAACATCCAAGGTGGTTCAAGAGTTGCAGCCATGTTTCTCCCCATACAATTCCTCCCAGGGAAAAAGGAATATCATCAAGTCCCACTATTCTCAGACGGACTTGCTCTTGTTATAGTAAGGAACCTCATGTAGCTGCTCAGGCTGTGTGCAGCTTAGCACACAGTTTGAAAGCAAAAAATCTGGGGTAGGAATGGAGCCAGTACAACACTCAGACCCCCTTCAAAATGGAATCCACTGGACTGTGGATTCTGAAGTGGACCAGTAATCTCACATGAGTAATGAACAAGATTTTCTAGCAGTGTAGCATGTTTGTGTAGGACTTTTCATTTTATTAACGAAAACGAATCTCTGTGGGTTTCCAAAAATCATTATGAATTACTGGAAGCAATAACGACATTACTGAAAGTTGAGCCAAATTTCTCATTTTGTCTGAATCTTTTTAAAATAAATAAATAAATCTAAGCCTAAAAGCTAGACATGCACAAAGAGGGAGATGGCATATTCTGGAAAGCATGCAGTTTGCAGAAAGGATCCCTGTAGTAAAACTTAAGTGTGTGCTCTGTATTATTCTTAAGAGAGAGAGAGAAAGGGAAAGAAGAAAACTCTTAACACTGCATGACCTCCGGAACTAGACATGCTGAGGCTGGACAATATTGAAGCCAGGAACAGAGAGGTTTGGGATAAAAGGCTTTGTGATAGCAATCTCTGCCTCCCATGCCCTCTGCACGACGGCTTAAATATCTCCTCCTTGGACAAACAGATCAATATAAGCTTTTAAACATCCTCAATGAGAGCTCATTAATGCTCTCCTAGTGTCCTCTTTTGCGCCCTAATGACCTGGTGGGAGCAGGAGAAGTGTGACAATTATCACAGGCATAACACATCAGATCATTTCTCAACACAATATGAATTGTTTTCGCAATTATTCAGGGCAGCAGCAAGCGAAAGTGATAACAAATTGAGAATAATAATGATATACGTTGCGATGTTTTGGGGGCATGTGAAATAGGGACAAATATGCTGGGTTAAATGTTAACTTAGCAGGACATGGGGCTTTGGCATTCCACGCACCATGCTGATTACCATTCTGCCACTTCCTCTCCTCCTCATTACATAATCTGCAACGGCAAAGTCATCTGATACTGTAGGTGGTGAGGATAACAGAACCAAAGAAAAACACACACTAGTCTTCACCATGGGCTGGGGCCAGTGGTGTAGTGGTGGTGGTGGGGCACAGGGGTGGTTGTCCTGGGTGCAAAATTGTTAGGGGGCACAAAATTTTAACTGTTGGTGCTGCCTCAATATAGCTGCACGCTTCTGTCTCTGGGCTTCATTGAAAACGTCTTCTCCATGCAAACTTTGAAGTGACTACTCCTGACAACAGAGTGACTCTTCTTTTCTTATCTCTGTGGCTGCAGTCTCTGGGGTGATGCAGATGCCATTAGGCAGTTGAATGTGCATGTGTCCTTTTTCTGTTTCCCTCCCTCCCCACAGCCATGTGGCCCCGGACATGGGCAACCCATGCTATGCCTCTGGCTGGGCACTGGAGGCTGTGCCCCCTTCTTCCCAGGAAGATCACCATATCAGTCAGGAGACCAACCCGTCCACATACATCACCTAGGAAAAGAGAGTTTGCTTGCCTACTTCCTGCAAGAAAGAACTCCAACTGTTTCTTAATACCAATGCTCCAATGCTTCTTAATACCAGTTGCTGGAAACCATAGGAAACCACAGGAGGGGAGAGTGCTTTCATGCTCAGGTCCTTCTCACAGGTTCCCCACAGCATTTTAGTCCAATTTTCTCCTAATATGCACATTTTTGTGTGCAATTTTGAATAATATACGCATTTTTGCAATGCAAAGTTTCCTGATATAACACATTTTTGCTTGAAAGTGACGTGAATATATGCATTTATATGTATTCCTGACCTTAGCATATGGATATTTTTATGTATTGCCTGGCAGAAGAATGGCCTTGCAAATTTCAGAGAAATGCGAATGCTGAAAGGTCACTGTGTTTGTTTGCAACTAGCTTTGTAGAGTGCAAATGAGGTAGTTTAGCCTTTAAATGCACATTGAATTGAATTCCTTCCCCAACTCAACTGGCACTACCTCCCATTGAATAGAACACCAATTTTCTCATCCAAGTAAAGATGTCTAGTATTAGACTGACTTGCAGGCTGGGCAGGGGTGGGGGAGATTAGTGGACCACTTTCTTATCCCTTTGAAATATTTGAATAATATTTCCAAGCACAATTCAAAGTGTTGGTGCTGACCTTTGAAGCCCTAAATGACCTCGGCCCAGTATACCTGAAGGAGTGTTTCCACCCCTATCATTCAGCCCAAACACTGAGGTCCACCTCCAAGGGTCTTCTGGTGGTTCCCTCACAGAGAGAAATGAAGTTACAGGGAACCAGGCAGAGGACCTTTTTGGTAGTGGTGCCCACCCTGTGGAACAACTCCCCCCCCATCAGATGTCAAGGAGTTAAAGAACTACACAAATTTTAAAGGACATCTGAAGGCAGCCCTGTATCAGGCAGTTTTTAATGTTTGGATTTGGATTTGATATCCCACTTTATCACTACCCGAAGGAGTCTCAAAGCAGCTAATATTCTCCTTTCTCTTCCTCCCCCACAACAAACACTCTGTGAGGTGAGTGGGGCTGAGAGACTTCAGAGAAGTGTGACTGGCCCAAGGTCACCCAGCAACTGCATGTGGAGGAGCGGAGACACAAACCCGGTTCCCCAGATTACGAGTCTATCGCTCTTAACCACTACACACACTGACATTTTATTATGTTTTTATATTTACTGGAAGCCCAGCCAGATGAGTGGGGTATAAGTAATAAAATTATGATTATGATTATGATTTGTGAATTATTCACCTTCACTACTTTATTTAAAAAATGGACACTTCAGTCAATTTAAGTCATTTCTCAAACATGCATTTTACTTACAGACCTGGGTGTGTATGTGTGTCCTTGGCCAATTTTCGTTCAATGTCTTTATAAGCGACTTGAATAAAGGTGTTGAGCGATGCTCATCTAATTTGCAGATGACACCAAACTGGAAGGGGTAGCTAATGCAGCAAAATACAGAATCAGAATTCTATATGTCCTTAACAGATTGGAGAACTGGGCCCAAATTTCAATAGGGACAAATGTAAGGTCCTGCACTAAGGCAGGAAGAACCAGATGCATAAATATAAGATGGGGGACACCTGGTTTGCCATTATTACATGTGAAATGGATCTAGGGATCTTAATAGACCACAAGCTTCACGTGAGTCAACAGCAAAAAAGCAAAAAAAGTAGCAATACAGCAGCAAAAAAAGTAATGTTTTTCTAGGCTGAATCAACAGAATTATAGTGTCTAGCAAAGGAAGTAATAGTACCACTCTATTCTGCCTTGGTCAGACCACACCTGTGTAGTTCTGGGCTCCACAATTTAAGAAGGATATTGACAAGCTGGAACATGTGCAGAGGAGGGTGACCAAAATGATCAAGGGTTTGGAAACTGAGCCTTATGAAAAATGGTTTGATTTGTTGTTGTTTAGTCATTTAGTCATGTCTGACTCTTCGTGACCCCATGGACCAGAGCACGCCAGGCAGCCAACTTCAAATATCTAAAGGGTTGTCACGTGGAAGATGGAACAAGCTTGTTTTCTTCTGTTCTGGAGGGTAGGACACGAACAAATGGCTTGAAGTTGCAATAAAGGAGTTTCCAACATCAGGAAGAGCTTTCTGACTGTAAGAGCTGCTTAGGAGGTTGTGGACTCTCCTTCATTGGAGGTTTGTAAGCAGAGGTTGGGTGTCCATCTGCCATGGATGCTTCAGCTGAGATTCCTTCATTGGATGAGCTTGGATTAGATGACTAGATGACTGTGGGAGTTCCTTCCAACTCTGCAATTCTAATGCAAAACTATGCCTACTACAGGAACCATAGGTGTCGGGTCCAGAGGGCCCTGGGTGTTCTAGCCCCCCCCAATTCCCCCTGAGGTACCCACAAACTTTGGTGGCATGTGTGCTGGGCACCTGCACCCACAAACTTTGGGCATCCACAAACTTTGGTGGCATGTGTGCTGGGCAGCTTGCCCAGTGCTGCGTGTGTCTGATGTCAGCATGCCCAGCAGTGTGCTAGGAATGTCACTCACAAATGCTACCAGGAGTGCTGAAGTCAGCGTGCGCGCCCAATAGCATGTGTGGCCCATGGCACCCGCAGTTGCAAGCCAGCACCACTCGCAGGAACAGGAATGGGCAGCGAGTATGAAATGATAGCCATTACATCACCTTTCAGTGCAAACAAAACTATTCCCCCCATTCCAACCACCTGGCCACACCATAAAACCCTGGCTGCCACAAACTAGCTGGGCTTGGGATGTGGCCATAGAACTTCATCACCACCCTCGCCCTCCCTTTCCCACTCAGGATTGCTCTCCTCATCTTGTTTCTTTATCACCTTCTCTGAGCAGTTCCTCATTATTGCCACGGTCCACATTGGTCGGTTGCTGACACCCCACCCTCTCCCTGAATTCGAAATGGAAACGATGCAGGAAGCTGAAAGTTTTGCAGGCTCTCTAATCTTGACACAGAGCCTCTGGGGTTTTTTGGGGAAGGCCCAACCTGTCAACTCTCCTCACCGGCAATTCATTACAGAGCAGCACCAAGCGAGGTGTTGGAACGGGGAGATGACACTTTCTTTTAAGGAACAAAAAAGAAGCAGTGTTCTATTTTAGCGACTTTTTTAATTCTTGTTTTTAGTGCAAGAATTTAATTATACATATTCCCCCCCCCATTTCTTATATTCTGACATATTAATTAAGGGTGCTCTGATTCATTTCCTGTGGCACTATTGGCCTATTCTGTAAAAACATGTGACTGTTTTTGTACAAATATATATATATATCAGCAGGTAGGTAAAGGCAACGCCTCAGTTTTCTGCCTACACACTGCCATTTCTTCTTGTCATTGAAACAGAAGGCTAATTATTTTCTAAATAACCTGATCGTTTCCTCTACCGGCATGAGATCTTACTGAATATCATACACAGGGTATTGCATTTCAGAAATCAGCCGATTGCTATAACTTCAGCTAATGGAGACCACAGGCCATGTTGCGAGGTGCCTGCCTGGTGTCCTAGAGGATAAACCAGGGTACCAAGGGAATAACTAAATAATGGGAAGAAGAGAGAAATGCCACCTGGGCACCCTATTACCTTATAGAACCTTATTAAGCTAGGAGATTTGTCTAAAAGAGTGCCTGTTAGATCTACATCTAAGTTCATTTAGATCAGGAATGGGTATCCTATCCTGATGCTGTTGGACTCCAGCTCTCATCTATTAGTTTGGTTCATTTCTCAGGATATTGTTACAGGAAAGTGCCATAGCTCAGTGGTAGAGCATCTGCTTTGCATGCTGAAGGCCCCAGGTTCAATCCCTGGCATCTCCAGGTAGGGATGGGAAGAACTCACTGTCTTGTAATTGTGGAGAGCCACAATCATCCTGTCCTGAAATTGTGGACGGTCACTGTGCAAACAGTACTGTATGCTTGTGAAACACTGACCACTTATAAATGCCTTCTCCAACTCCTCGAAAGATTCCATCAATGGTGTCTCCGAAAAATTTTACACATCACTTGGAAAGACAGGCAAACCAATATCAGTGTACTGGAAGAAGCAAAGATCACCTGTGTTGAAGTGATTCTTCAACATCAACTTCGTTGGACTGGTCATGTTGTGTGGATGCCTGATTATCGTCTTCCAAAGCAACTACTCTATTCTGAACTTAAAAATGGAAAGCGTAATGCTGGTGATCAACAAAAGAGGTTTAAAGACTCTGTCAAGGCAAATAAAAAAACAAAACAAAAACGTAGTTTAAACACCGACAACTAGGAAACACTGGCCTGCGAGGGCTCCAATTGGAGAACAGCCTTTACCAAAGGTGTCATGGTCTTTGAAGACGCTTGAACTCAGGACTCGAACTCAGGACGAAAGGGAGAAATGTGCTAAGAGGAAAGCACACTTGGCAAACCCTCACTGTGATCAAACTATGTCCCCACTGTGGAAGGAATTGGCCTCCACAGTCACTTACAGACTCACTGTTAAAACTGTGTTTATGGAAGGCAATCTTACTCGGCTATGAGTGATCGCCAAAGAGAAGAAAGAGAAAGAGATGTGGCAATGATCTGATTCAGGCTAAGGCAGTGTTCCTATGTTTCATTTGTTCACTGAATCTGTTTCCTCATTTTGCCCAATGGTAGGGCCAACTGACAGGTTGTTGAAGTTATCTTTGAGATTTTGAGATTGAACAATGGGTGGTGGCAGTGTACACATCATACATTTAAAGCACACCCCCCCCCAAGAATCCTGGGAACTGTAGATTGTTAAGGGTGCTGTAGCTCTGCAAGGGGTAAACTAGAGTTCCCAGGATTCTTGGAAGGCATTTGTGCTTCAAATATGCTTTTCATGTATGGTGTGTACATAGTTTCGACGCATAGAATTGTACAGTTAGAAGGGACCACAAGGCCTAAAGTGCAGTACTATTTTGCTCAATGTGGGGCTTGAACCCACAACCCTGAGATGAAATGTCTCCTCCTCTACTGACTGAGCTTAACATGAGTCAGGAAGATCCTTTTTTGGTGAAGCGTTAAACATTCTTTCATGCCAACTGGATGTTACACAAGCTGGTCAAAAATGGATAATTTCCTTTTCCTCCACAACTGAACACATGCACAAATAGAAAAGCTGAAGAAATTTGAAAATGGACACAATTTGAGCAATGGTTTAATGGGGGGAAATGCATAGATCCCTAGCTGTAGTTGCTTCTTGGTAATTTAAGGTGAAACCCTTAACACAATGGCTTATTATATTCTTGGTTGAAAGGGGAAAAAAGTGATGCTTAATTAATCTTTACAAAGTACTGCCAGACCTTTAATTAAAGGTCAGTCTAATAGTGCAAAACCACTCATAATGATTATGATTTTATTCTTGGCGTCCACCTTGGGTTGGAAATGATGAGACTGGAATATTTGAATAATGTTATTGCGGATCATCTGCTGACCAAGTTAAAGGTCATGAACTTCAGCCTTCTTCAACCTGGTGCCCTCAGATGTTTTGGATTATAATTCCCACCAGTCCCCAATAACATGGCTTGGGAAAGCCTAGCTTACAGTTTATAATGGCTAGAAGAACATCTAGCATATCAAGGGTATGTGATGGTGTGTGCATGTGTGTATATCTATATATTTATCTATATTCCATAAGAACCCTAGGAACTCCCTAGGGCCAATATGCAAAGAACAAAATAATAATGAGCCAGATTCAATCTTATTGCACCTTTTAAAAATGGCTTTTCTAGTTGGCTTCTCAAAAAGCTGGGTTTAATTCTCACTGCTCTGCTTGTGCCAGTCTCATTCCGGCAATAGTAGTGCAATATCCCCTCAATATCCCCTTCATGGATCACTGCCTTGCCGTGGCGAAGAAGCTTGAATAACTCAGAGAAGCTATGAGCTATGCTGTGCAGGGCCACCCAAGATGGACAGGTCATAGTGGAGAGTTTTGACCAAACGTTATCCACCTGGAGCAGGAACCGGCAAGCCACTCCAGTATCCCTGCCAAGAAAACTCCATGGACAAAGGCAACAGGCATATAAAAGTTATGATGTTGGAAGATGAGCCCCTCAGGTCGGAAGGCATCCAACATGCTACTGAGGAAGAGCGGAGGACAAGTACAAGTAGATCCAGAGCTGATGAAGCGGCTGGGCCAAAGCCGAAAGGACGCTCAGTTGTGGATATGCCTGGAAGCAAAAGGAAAGTCCAATGATATAAAGAAAAATATTGCATCGGAACCTGGAATGTAAGAACCATGAAACCGGGTAAGTTGGATGTGGTCAAAAATGAGATGGCAAGAATAAATATTGACATCCTGGGCATCAGTGAACTAAAATGGATGGGAATGGGCGAATTCAGTTCGGATGACCATCATATCTACTACTGTGGGCAAGAATCCCGTAAAAGAAATGGAGTGGCCCTCATAGTCAACAAAAGAGTGGCAAAAGCTGTAGTGGGATGCAATCTCAAAAATGATAGAATGATCTCGATACGAATCCAAGGCAGACCTTTTAACATCACAGTAATCCAAGTTTATGCACCAACCACTAGTGCTGAAGAAACTGAAATTGACCAATTCTATGAAATCTTACAACACCTTATAGAAATGACACCAGAGAAGGATGTTCTTCTCATTATAGGGGATTGGAATGCCAAAGTAGGGAGTCAAGAGATAAAAGGAACAACTGGCAAGTTTGGCCTTGGAGTTCAAAACGAAGCAGGGCAAAGGCTAATAGAGTTCTGCAAAGAGAACAAGCTGGTCATCACAAACACGCTTTTCCAACAACACAAGAGACGACTCTACACATGGACATCACCAGATGGGCAGCATCGAAATCAGATTGTTTATATTCTCTACAGCCAAAGATGGAGAAGCTCTATACAGTCAGCAAAAACAAGACCTGGAGCTGACTGTGGCTCAGATCATAGAATCATAGAATCATAGAGTTGGAAGAGACCACAAGGGCCATCGAGTCCAACCCCCTGCCAAGCAGGAAACACCATCAGAGCACTCCTGACATATGGTTGTCAAGCCTCTGCTTAAAGACCTCCAAAGAAGGAGACTCCACCACACTCCTTGGCAGCAAATTCCACTGTCGAACAGCTCTTACTGTCAGGAAGTTCTTCCTAATGTTTAGGTGGAATCTTCTTTCTTGTAGTTTGGATCCATTGCTCCGTGTCCGCTTCTCTGGAGCAGCAGAAAACAACCTTTCTCCCTCCTCTATGTGACATCCTTTTATATATTTGAACATGGCTATCATATCACCCCTTAACCTCCTCTTCTCCAGGCTAAACATGCCCAGCTCCCTTAGCTGTTCCTCATAAGGCATCGTTTCCAGGCCTTTGACCATTTTGGTTGCCCTGCTCTGGACACGGTCCAGTTTGTCAGTGTCCTTCTTGAACTGTGGTGCCCAGAACTGGACACAGTACTCCAGGTGAGGTCTGACCAGAGCAGAATACAGTGGCACTATTACTTCCCTTGATCTAGATGCTATACTCCTATTGATGCAGCCCAGAATTGCATTGGCTTTTTTAGCTGCCGCGTCACACTGTTGGCTCATGTCAAGTTTGTGGTCAACCAAGACTCCTAGATCCTTTTCACATGTACTGCTCTCCAGCCAGGTGTCACCCATCTTGTATTTGTGCCTCTCATTTTTTTGCCCAAGTGCAATACTTTACATTTCTCCCTGTTAAAATTCATCTTGTTTGTTTTGGCCCAGATCTCTAATCTGTCAAGGTCGTTTTGAAGTGTGATCCTGTCCTCTGGGGTGTTACCCACCCCTCCCAGTTTGGTGTCATCTGCAAATTTGATCAGGATGCCCTTGAGTCCATCATCCAAGTCATTGAGAAAGATGTTGAATAAGACCGGGCCCAAGACAGAACCCTGTGGCACCCCACTAGTCACTTTTCTCCAGGATGAAGAGGAACCATTGATGAGCACCCTTTGGGTTCGGTCAGTCAGCCAGTTACAAATCCACTGAGTGGTAGCATAGTCAAGACTGCATTTTACCAGCTTCTTTACAAGAATATCATGGGGCACCTTGTCAAATGCCTTGCTGAAATCAAGGTAGGCTACATCCACTGCATTCCCTTCATCTACCAGGCTTGTAATTCTGTCAAAAAATGAGATCAGGTTAGTCTGACATGATTTTTTTTTCAGAAATCCATCAGCTTCTTATAGCAAAATTCAAGCTTAAACTGAAGAAAGTAGGAAAAACCACTGGGCCAGTAAGATACAATCTAAGTCAAATTCCTTGTGAATACACAGTGGAAGTGAGGAACAGGTTTAAGGATTTAGATTTGGTAGACAGAGTGCCTGAAGAACTATGGATGGAGGCTCGTAACATTATACAGTTGGCAGCAACTAAAACCATCCCAATGAAAAGGAAATGCAAGAAAGCAAAGTGGCTGTCCAACAAGGCCTTACAAATAGCGGGGGAGAGAAGGCAAGCAAAATGCAAGGGAGATAGTGAAAGATACAGGAAATTGAATGCAGATTTCAAAAAAATAGCAAGGAGAGACAAGAAGGCCTTCTTAAACGAGCAATGCAAAGAAATAGAGGAAAACAATAGAATGGGAAAAACCAGAGAACTGTTCAAGAAAATTGGAGATATGAAAGGAACATTTCATACAAAGATTACCATAATAAAAGACAAAAGTGGAAAGGACCTAACAGAAGCAGAAGATATCAAGAAGAGGTGGCAAGAATACACAGAGGAACTATACCAGAAAGAAATGGATGTCTCGTATACCCCAGGTAGTGTGGTTGCTGACCTTGAGCCAGACATCCTGGAGAGTGAAGTCAAATGGGCCTTAGAAAGCACTGCTAATAACAAGGCCAGTGGAAGTGATGATAGTCCAGCTGAACGATTTAAAATTTTAAACGATGATGCTGTTAATGTGCTACACTCAATATGCCAGCCAATTTGGAAAACTCAGCAGTGGCCAGAGGATTGGAGAAGATCAGTCTACATCCCAATCCCAAAGAAGGGAAGTGCCAAAGAATGCTCCAACTACCGCACAATTGCACTCATTTCACACGCTAGCAAGGTTATGCTTAAAATTCTACAAGGCAGGCTTAAGCAGTATGTGGACCGAGAACTCCCAGAAGTGCAAGCTGGATTTCGAAGGGGCAGAGGAACCAGAGACCAAATTGCAAACATGCACTGGATTATGGAGAAAGCTAGAGAGTTCCAGAACGACATCTACTTCTGCTTCATTGACTATGCAAAAGCCTTTGACTGTGTCGACCACAGCAAACTATGGCAAGTTCTTAAAGAAATGGGAGTGCCTGATCACCTGATCTGTCTCCTGAGAAATCTCTTTGTGGGACAAGAAGCTACAGTTAGAACTGGATATGGAACAACTGACTGGTTCAAAATTGGGAAAGGAGTACAGCAAGGCTGTATACTGTCTCCCTCCTTATTTAACTTACATGCAGAATTCATCATGCGAAAGGCTGGGCTGGATGAATCCCAAGCCGGAATTAAGATCACTGGAAGAAATATCAACAGCCTCAGATATGCAGATGACACAACTTTGAGGGCAGAAAGTGAGGAGGAATTAAAGAACCTTTTATTGAGGGTGAAAGAGGAGAGCGCAAAATATGGTCTGAAGCTCAACATAAAAAAAAACACGAAGATCATGGCCACTGGGCCCATCACCTCCTGGCAAATAGAAGGGGAAGAAATGGAGGCAGTGAGAGATTTTACTTTCTTGGGCTCCATGATCACTACAGATGGTGACAGCAGCCACGAAATTAAAAGGCGCCTGCTCCTTGGGAGAAAGGCGATGGCAAACCTAGACAGCATCTTAAAAAGCAGAGACATCACCTTGCCAACAAAGGTCCGTATAGTTAAAGCCATGGTTTTCCCGGTAGTGGTGTATGGAAGTGAGAGCTGGACCATAAAGAAAGCTGATCGCCGAAGAATTGATGCTTTTGAATTATGGTGCTGGAGGAGACTCTTGAGAGTCCCATGGACTGCAAGAAGATCAAGCGCATCCATTCTTAAGGAAATTAGCCCTGAGTACTCACTGGAAGGAAAGATCGTGAAGCTGAGGCTCCAATACTTTGGCCACCTCATGAGAAGAGAAGACTCCCTGGAAAAGACCCTGATGTTGGGAAAGATGGAGGGCACAAGGAGAAGGGGACGACAGAGGACGAGATGGTTGGACAGTGTTCTCGAAGCTACAAATATGAGCCTGACCAAACTGCGGGAGGCAGTGGAAGACAGGAGTGCCTGACGTGCTCTGGTCCATGGGGTCACAAAGAGTCGGACATGACTAAACGACTAAACAACAACAACAAATCCCCTCAACATATAATGCACTAGAAACAGGTTGTCCATGAGATGGATCCAATAAGGAGATAGAAGCCCCCAGTCAGAGGGGGGGAGGAAATCACACCAAGGTAGCATCAGAACATGAAACAATCGCACTCAGCAGAACTGAGGAAAGGTGAATATTCACATACAAATTCCCATGCAGATTTTGACACATCTCCCTAGTATTTATACCCTACAGCATGGGAAGCCAGCACGATGCCCTTCAAATTTTGTTGGGTTCCAACTCCCGCCAGCCCCAGGCAGGGTGGTCAATAGCCAGAGAACATGAGAGCTGTAACCCAATAACATATTGAGGGCACTACGCCCTACTTTATCTGAGTACAGCCCAATTCAGGTATTCTTACTCACATAGTTAGTATCACATGAGGGAGGAAACCGGGGACACACCTGCCTGGCCCTCCTGTCATATTTCTGTTGCCCAGCCTAGTCTCCTTCCACACATTGGAGGGGCAGGGGGAGATCTGGATAACATAAGAACATAAAAAGAGCCAGCTGGATCAGGCCAATGGTTCACTACCCTGACCTCATCGTAGCCAACCAGAGGCCTGTGGGGAACCTGCAAGCAGGACTCAAGTGCAAGAGTCCTCTCCCCTCATGTAGCTTCCAGCAACTGGTATCAGAAGCATTTCTGACACTGACTATGGAGGCAGAACATAGCCAACATGCCTCGTCGACATCCTCCTCCATGAATTTGTAGAATTCATTTCTAAAGCCATTCGAGTTGGTGGCCATCACTGTCTGCTGTGGGATTGAGTCCCTTAGTGTATGCACCTGTGTGAAGAAGGACTTTCTGTTTTGAATCATCCAGTGGTCAGCTTCAGCCCACAGGTTGCAGAGTTTGAGAGAGGGAGGAAAGAAATAATATTTGCCTATCCCCTTTCTGTTGTCTTTGTCCATGGAGTTTTCTTGGCAGAGATACTGGAGTGGCTTGCCAGTTCCTGCTCCAGGTGGCTCACGTTTGGTCAAAACTCTCCACTATGACCTGTCCATCTTGGGTGCCCTGCTCAGCATAGTTCACAGCTTCTCTGAGTTATTCAAGACCCTTCGCCATGGCAAGGCAGTGAGTTTGACCGAACTGCGGGAGGCAGTGGAAGACAGGAGTGCCTGGCGTGCTCTGGTCCATGGGGTCATGAAGAGTCGGACATGACTAAACGACTAAACAACAACATCCCCTTTCTCCATCATATGCATAGTTTTGCTAACTTTTGCTGCAGAACATAGACAGTGGTAGGGCCTACCTAGCTGACCTGAAGGCAATGGGGAGGGTCAGCAAGACAAGCTTTTCCTATCATCCAAGCAAGGAAGAACGCCTGAACATAAATGAAGTGACTGCAGAACTCCCCCCTTTTTATTTTTATCCCCACCTTCATTTCTGTGTTGTTTCATGTGTTTTTATATCTAGATTGCAATCCCCTTGGGTCTGGGGCCTGTCCTCTGGGTCATTGTAAAGCACCAACTATGTGGATGGAGAGCCACATTAAATCTTCATCATCTGTTGTTGTTTTTTTGGAGGGAAAATAAGATTCAGAAATGGAAACTGAAGAAAATTCTCAACAGAAAGTTTGCATCTTCAATCTGATTTATTTGTTTATGTTCCTCCCTGCTCCTCCAAATGGATAACTCCTCAGGCACTCCTGATTCCACAACAGAATTCTAAACAGAGTATTTGTGCCCAAAAAGCAACACAAACAAGATCCAGGCACTTAGCTTTTACCTCTTGCGGCTGAAACGCTGTGAACCACTTATGAATTATTCCCACGAGTAATTTTTGTAATCTTCACCCCCTCCTTCCACTCCCCCTTTTTTTGCAATTTCCTTAGCATACCTTGACTATCTGTCTGTCTGTCCATCTATCTATCTATTTATCTATCTATCTCTCCTAAATTAGGCATAAGCCAGCAATAGTATGTGTTGGACTCCCGTTTGTGAATAAATGAGATGTGCCGATGCCAAAATGTTGGTAAAAGGGGATTAAAGAGGCGAGGGCTGCTTTTTCCACCTCAGTGGTTTTGAGTCGCTATTAAGAGGGATGGATTAATATCAGATTCCTGGTATCTGCCTCCTCGCTGATATTGCTTAATTATCCAGATAAGTGATCAGAATCCAAGCATGAGCAGCATAAATACGAAGGACATCATCGCTTTATATGTATAAAATGTGTTTATTAGTTTAAGCATCATAAAAAGCAGTGGCAAAGTGCTCGTTAAAGGTTACATTTAGAGCACTTTTTAGATGCTCGTTTTGGGTTAGTTACCCTCTGGAAAGAAAACTGTTGTTCATTTATTTGCTGAAAGGCACAGCCGTGTGCTTAAGAGGCTCCTGTTGACACTGGACTTCATGCTCTGGTTTTTGCAGAGGGGGCTTTCCCTCAGCTCCCGATCCAATTATTTCACCTCCCTTCCATTTTCATTCTTGAAGCCCCCCACCCCCCACCTCAGACCCTTACCCTCAGATTAAGAGGGTGGGCCTCTCAGCTTCCCTCGGGTTACATCAGAGGCTGCAAACATCTGGCATCCCAGCTCAAGCTGTGGAGGGAAGGGCCAGGTATTCCCAGACTGCTTCGCTAGGCCCAAAAGCTACTGTGTGGCAGCGTTTGCTCTGATTACTGGTAATTATCAGACAGTGACCCACTCTGGGCGTGCATGCCTGAGGTCCTCAGAGGTTTGGCTTCATTTGCGACAGAGACAGAATCCTGAATTGAGGCTCAAGTCGAGTTGGTGAAATGCTCTCCCGATTCTCATTCTTTGCCACTTCAGTTTCAAAAGTCCCTGCTTTTCAAAACGCCACAGATAAAACAATTTCAATGAATTTTGAGGGAGGCCAAAAGCTAGCAAATAATAATCATAATCACCTGGTGGCGAAAAGTGGGACATACATGTCACAGACATTGGCAGATTTCACCTGATTTCCCCTCACTTTGCAGAAGGGTAGAATATCTTCTTTGCATGCAGACGGCTGCTGGTTCAATCCACAGGGTCTCCAAAAAGACCCCCCTGATCTGAAATCCCGGAGATCCGTTGCCAACATTGAGCTGGATGGACAAATGGTCTGACTCCACATAAAAATTATGTTCCTTTGTCTGCACAGCAGCTATTAAGATTCCAGGGAGAAATTGGGCAAAGTGAACTGCAACTCATATCTCAGTGGCCATAGTTCAGCCTTGGAACAAGGCCCAGAGGCACTGGACACTGATAATAGAATCATAGAATTATAGAGTTGGAAGGGATTCCGAGGGTCATTTAGTCGAAGTCCCTGCAATGCAAGAATCTCCACTAAATCATCCATGAGAGATGGTCATCCAGCCTCTGCTTAAAAACCTCCAATGAAGGCAAGTCCACCACTTTCCAAGCGAGTCTGTTCAACTGTTAAACAGCTCTTACTGTCAGAAAGTTCTTCCTGATGTTGAGTCTGAATCTTATTTGTTGTTACGTGAAGCCATTGGTACAGGACTTAGTCTCCAGAGCAGGAGAAAACAAGCTTGCTTCAATTTCCACGTGACAGCCCTTTATATATTTGAAGGTGGCTATCATATCTCCTCTTGGTGCTCCTTTTTTTGTCACTGTGAACATACCCAACTTCCTCAAGCATTCCTCATAAGGCTTGGTTTGCAGACCATTGATCATCTTGGTTGCCCTCATTCCAGCTTGTCAATATCCTTCTTAAAATGGGGTGCCCAGAACTGGACACAGTACTCCAGTTATGGTCTGCCCAAGGCAAAAAAAAGAGGTCCTATTACTTCCCTTGATCGGGACGGTATATTTCTGTTGATAAAGTGATGTCTTCTGTCAACTTGAAGGTTAACAGGAAGGGCTGTAGCTCACTGACAGAGCATCTATTTGCATGCAGAAGGTTCCAGTTTCTCTCCTTGGCATCTTCATGTAGGGCTGGGAATGTCTCCTGTCCGAAATTCTGGAGAGACGCTGCTAGTCAGTGTAGACAACACCAGCCAAAATGGACCAACGACAAGACAGTTTATTGTGTTCCTATGTTCAGCGAGAAGTTCTTCCTCAGACAAAAGATTTATTTTTATTTTAAAAAAATATTTAACATAATTATTACAAAATGAAAGCAAAATATTGCAAATACATACATACATATATATTTCAAATAAGCACATATATATCTATATAAAAGAAGAAAAGAGAAAAAAAGAAGAAAAGAAAAAAGAAGAAAAAATAGAGAGAAAAAGAAGATAAGTTGGAAGAATTTCTTCCAAGTTTATTCTACAAATATCTCAACATGAAAATAATAATAAAATTTCATTGACTTCCATCGCTTGCACTGCAATTCCTATATACATTTTAAGCAAGATTGTATCTGTTATTCTGTATTTCCCCCATACAATCTCACACAAATATTCCAATCAATATGTTTTCTAAATCTTTCATAAATCTATTCTAAACACAACCAATACCTTACATTTAATCCTTGTCTACATAAATAATCATTTAAACGAAGTATATTTTTTGGCAGTTTTAAAATATCAAAAATCTGAGGAAGTTTGAGAAAAGGGGGGAAATCCTTTTGATAAAAGTAGGGCAGATTCTGTGGGTAGCTTCACACTCCCTCTTTGTTGACCTTCCCTGTAATATCTCCACTGACCAATCAGTTCAGGATGCCTCTGCTACTGTCATCGTTATCTTCTGCATCATCCTCTCTTTGCATTGCCATTAGTTTATCCTCAAATTCTGTCTAACCTTCAGGAGTCCAAGCCTTACTTCCTAAATTGCATCATTTTGTTGGGAATCACAAGCAAGGAGGCTGCTGTTGCCCTCAGGTCCTGCTTTCGGGCTTCCCATAGGCATCTGGTAAGCTGCTGTGAGAATAGGATGATAGACAAGATGAGCCATTGGCCTGATTCACCTGGCTTCCCTCATGTTCTCCTTTGCCAAGAAGGGAACAGTTTCGGCTTGAGATTATGGAAATACAGCACAACTCATCCTCTGTCAATGAGAGATGATCACAACTTCATCCTTCATCCTACAATGAAGAAGACACGCTTTAAAGACAGAAGTTGTCCTGTGTACACGGAGGGAAGATTGGCACTTCTTGTAGACCGGAAGACAAGCACCACAAGTTTCTAAGAAAGAACTGTTATTTGTTTATTTATCTTTTAAAATAGTTCGGTGTCATCCTTCAATTAAAAAAGTAAGAATGCTGAAAGCAGTTTACGACAAAATCTAATATATATATTATTTAATAAAAACATATTAAACGAAAACTAGTAATTAAGGTAGTGTTCAACAGAAATAAAATCACAGCAATTAAAAAACCTTCCTCTTCCCAGGAATGGAGAGGAAAAAAGAGGTGTTCACTCTAAAATCAGAAGAATCTGGCTCTGTCAATGTGTTTGCACTGTACCAAGCACCCTGCTCCTCTCCACCTTCACAGCATGAAACAGTGACCCTCCTGCCAGGAAACCAGTTTAGCAGATACACCCCACCTGGCAGAGGTGCTGAGTTCTGTGCAACGCAACCACAAACTTCACTGGGCCTCTCAACATTACCTACCTCACAGGGTTATTGTGAGGATAAACAGAAAAGAGGGAGGACCATGTCTGCCACTTTGAGCTCCTTGGACGAAACGTTGGATTGAAATGCTGTCATATTACGTTATATGTATATATATATGGCTGAATTAAAATAAACCAGCAAAAGCTGTACCATGTGTCTCCTTGACTGTATATTTTGTCACTAAGCTACAGATCCACCTATAGAAATGGATGCACATGTTTAATTGCTAAGGCAAAACATCTCCCAACCACAGTAATTACTCTACTCAGCAAGACCGAAATTTTTGCACTTCTCAAAGCAAATACTACCACCTGGGGCTGAGATCATGCCAGAATCCATGACCTAACGAAGGTCGGTCGGCGCCCTCTTTGCATTGAAAACATGCTCCAGAAACCTTGAGGTTGCAGCTGCATCTAATTAGTTTAATTTTCTCCTCGGCTTCAGTGTCAGTCCAGCAGAATAGGGAGGGCACATTGTACAACAAGAGTCCTTTGACTGCTGGTGGCCATCTTCTATTAAAAAAAAACAACAACAACATTCAAACACACGTCTTAAGAAAGTTAAATGCAGAGTTAAAACAAAGGGAGATCAAATGCTAAGAAGCAAGGACATGCAAAGTGTCTTGAGTGCCAGCAGATTAATAGAAATCTAGGAATGCAATGTGAAGGTGTAAGAGTGACAGCTTTTTATATAAGTAGTGTGGTATAGTGGTTGGACCAGCTGTTGCCAGCCTTGTGCACACCTCCCCAGATTATTACAACTTCCACCAGCTCCAGAAGTAAGTTGTAGCTCAAAACCTTTAGACGACACCAGGCTAGCAAAGGCTAGATTATAGAGTGTCAAACTCTGACCTAGAAGACCTAGGTTCAAATCCCTATTGTGTAACTCACTGGGAGACCAGTCTGTCTTTCCAGCCTACTTCACGGGGTTGTTGTGAAGATAAAATAAGAGCAGCAAAGGGCCTTGAATGCCACTCCAAGCCGCTTAGAAGAAGGTTCACCTGTGGCTTCTTGTTCCACTATACTATTTAGGGTCCTCCAATTGTCCAAAGAAGATCATGGAGAGGACAAGTTGTGCTGCAGAGAATAGGGGAACCTACAGATATCAGTTCCTGCCTCTTCCAGGATTTATGAATAGATCTCTGCTCCTGGAATATCTGGTTCCAATCTTAGTTTCCTTTAAGAAACCACTGAAGAATTTATGTGTGGACAGTCCAATATAAATCCATCACTAATGCACTACTATTGGACCAATGACACAATGCAGAATACACCTACAAAAAAGCCATCAGTCTGGAGGAGCCTACATGCTTTATGTACCCCATAACAACAGACTTTAGATGAGTCCCACTGATCTCACTTTGCTGTCTGTCCACAGACCACCTCATGGTGAATTTCTGCCTGACACATCTTTATTGAAAAGTACTTTTACTTGCCTGGTTTTAATTCCAAAGAATCAGACATACTATCTGTTGTTACACACACACACACACACACACACACACACAGAGAGAGAGAGAGAGAGAGAGAGAGAGAGAGAGAGATTTAGATGTTAAGCAATGTGCAGTTAGTGTTGGCATGAATTTAAAAAGCTAAAATTAAAAATGCAAGAAACTGTACCATGGGTGCTATTTGATTGAGGTGTGTGTGATTTCACGTACCATCTTCCTCTGAACTCACCCGAGTGATACAGGTCATCCTTTCCCTTGCATCTTGTCAAATGCTTTGGACCCCTCTGGGATGACAAGCACAATAGAAATCTGGATGATGATTGTACAATCCTTTCCTTGTATTGCTAATTTCCTCCACTTCTAATCTCTTGGTTAGATTATAATTAGGCTCTCTCCAGAGCCCTTATCAAGTTGAGAAACTTTTTAAAAAAACTAACAAAAAGTTTCCTTTACAGGTAAGACAGTTTCAAAGTCATTGTTCTTAAAAGCAGCATTTGACTCCCACTCATCCACATATTTTTTATAAAGGACAAGATGGATTAAAAACAAAAACAAAAGGCGTGTAAGTATTCAGATGAGTTCAGTATGGATAGTCCAGTGAGAACTGCAAGCTTTTCAATATCTCCAGGGTTGCAGACAGAGACCTATCTGAAGTCTACCAGGAGATGTCAGGAATTGACCTTCTACATGCAATGCAGGTATCACTGAGCTACAGCTCTTAACTTTGAATGAAAAAGGTGTGGGGGAACCACAGAAAAGGAGCCTAAATTAAGGTTACCAGATTTTTTTCAAAGAATCCAGGGACACTTTTTTTTTTTTTAAGAGAGGGGAAAAAGTTATTTTTTAAAAAAGTTTTTTTTAAAAAAGAAGAAGTAATATCTTCTCTTCTGTGGTCTCCTTTGTTGCACGGGCTTCCTCTGGGTCCCGGCTTGCTCTCTTGGAGTACTAGCCACCGTGGAGTAGGCTCGGGTCAGGCCTGGGCTTGGCCACATGTCCTTGCCCTCCCAGTACTCTCCTACCTCTCCTCCTCAGCAGCAGCACGGCAAGGTCGGGGCTCCCCTCTTTTTTCTCATTCCTCTTTCTCTCTCTTCCTTCTCCTTCTCCTCTCCTCCTTCTCCCTGCATCAGCTCCGGGGTTTTCCTGGTCCCAGAGCGCTGCTGGGCAGTCAGCAGGGTGGCCGGGCGCTCTTGCTCCCAGCTCGATTTGGGTCACGGGGTGGGTGTGTCAGCGGTTCCCCCTTGGCAGTGACAGTGGCAGTCTCAGCAGCCCAGAGCCAGCCTGGTAGCGCAGTTGGCTCTGGCTGGCTTCAGGAGCTGCTCGCTGCCGTGGCGCCCGCCATTTTGCCTCGCCGGAAGTCCCCATATGATGTGCATTGTGCCGTTGAACCAATCACGCAACATTCATTCCCTACTAATAAATTTACAATGCTTAAAATATAAATCCGGGGACAGATTTCGTCCGGGGACAGATTTGTAAATGGGAGGACTGTCCCCGGGAAACGGGGACATCTGGTAACCATAGCCTTAAATGCCTTAGGCTTATGGTGCCTGAAAGTTCTCGCAGCGGCCAACCAGATGCTCATAGGAAGCCTCAAAGCAGGACCACTTTTGACTCCGAACATGTGGCATGCAGAAGCACATGGCCTCTGACAGTGAAGGTGAAGCATAGCCAACCTCTTTTGATGCCTTTTAAAAAATGCATTCATGGCCACCCTACCTCCCAGGTCCATCCATTGCCAGATAACCTTAAATGAAGACTGCTTCCCCTTTTCATAACATCACTCATCTCTGAATACAATGTGACGAAGATGATGATAAGGGCATTTATCTACCTAATTGCAATCTGTCCTCTGTCTGATGTGACAATTTGGGTTAATTTCCAAAGATCCTCTGCTTTCTGTATCCTGAAAAGATATCACTATATACCCAAAAGGAATCTGGATCCCTCTCCCCTCCACACTGCCCGCCTTTTCTCCAGGGGAAAAAATATTAACACAAATTCTTCCCTTTAACAAAACCATCTTTTGATTGGTGTAAGTGAGAGCCATTACCTTTCTACATTCTGCTTTCCCACCTTCTATGGCAGCCTTCTCCAGCAGCGTTAACACATCTCAATTTATGAGCCTCGTGTAGCAAGGGTCAATGTATTAATATGTTAATAATGCAATGCTTTGCCAATTATGCTGGGGGGTTTTATGTAGAGCCTCAATTAATTATGTTATAATATTTTGATGGCAGGCTGATTGCTAGCGTTGCATAGCTGCAATGTTAAATGTTTAGAAGATGATAGACTGGGATGCCTTAATGGCCATGTGGTTCAGTTTAAGGATAAAAAGGTGATCTGGACAGAGATAACACTTTTATGGGCTGTGCTGCAATATGTTTCATTTGGGATCTGCTGTGACAGCAGGATTAAAGATTTTGCTTATTATAAGAAATAGCTTCATTCCTTCCTTCAAGGCCATGTTAAATGGGATGTTAGTCACAAAAAATGAATATTGCAATTTTTAAAATAAAAATTAATCATTGCCTTGTTGTCTTCACCACATTCCTAAAGTGGACCCACCCCCACCCCCCAACAAACCCCATATCCACTGAATATTTTTTTTGGGGGGGGGGAGTTAGTAGTCCCATCTGGGGGATGAAGCCTGGCCAATTTCAGGCAAAGTGGCGCAGGTTTTGGAGTGTGTTCTCTGCACCTTTAAATGATGCTTTTCTCTTTGGTTTTGTAGGCAATTTGCATTAACATGGGTATTTCAAATTTCAGAGGCACCCTGTGCAAAGCCAGCATTTGGCACCCCCTCACCTCTCGCCTCCAGACCTGCTCAATTCACTATGGCATAGTTACGATGTCCTGCAGCGCCGCCTAAGCTTGGCACCTGGTGTGGCAGAGAGCCAGTGTGGTGTAGTGGTTAAGAGCGGTAGACTCGTAATCTGGGGAACCGGGTTCACTTCCCCGCTCCTCCACGTGCAGCTGCTGGGTGACCTTGGGCTAGTCACACCTCTCTGAAGTCTCTCAGCCTCACTCACCTCACAGAGTGTTTGTGGTGGGGGAGGAAGGGAAAGGAGAATGTTAGCCGCTTTGAGACTCCTTCGGGTAGTGATAAAGCGGGATATCAAATCCAAACTCTTCTTCTTGTTGTTGTTGCACTGCCCTAAATCTGCCTCTGGATACGATCCTGCGTAGTGCTTTTCTTCATGGACTGTCTTCTGCTCCTTCACAAGCAGCTTCCGATGCTGGGAAGCCAGTCACAGAGCAGGAGGAGCTAGCTCTGAACAGGATCTGACGCTGAGTAGTGCTGCTTGGACAGCATCACCTGCATCACCACAGGATTTATGCATACCCCATAAGTGTCCTGGGAAAAACGGGACTTTCCCCACGAGAGCATGGTGGTCATTTGGGGCTCTGTGATCTTGTGTGGGTCACGTGACTCAAACAGGGGCACAGACAGGAAGACCCGCATCCTGTTTTGGGGACTGAACATGTTGGAGGGCATGATTTATGCCTCCACTCGAGAGCTGTTGAGAGACACATTGACCCTGAGTGAGTGTGACCATGTCAGGCAAGAAGTGTGCTGGGCTTAACTTCTCCCAGGTAGGTCTCAGCCCTCTTTGTGTACTTTTACCCCCACCTGCCCCTCCTTCCTTCCTTCCTGATGCCCTGCCCCCTGTCAGCCACGTTTCACTCTGGGCCAATCCACCCTGATTTACAGTGATCCTTTCCTGTGTGTACCCTATTCTTCCGAGACCTTCTGAATTGGTCTCAGCTGAATCCAGTGCACAGCCCTAACAGGAATTGCATCTTACTCCCAAGAGCACTGGGAAGCAAAACAAAAGCCCGGGCAAAATCATTCAAAGTCAGGTCAGAAGGAGAACCCAACCCCGTTCTGTCTGAATTTTCTGTTTGTGGAAAACTTGGGGGAATCTTACAGAAATATACTGCAAAAAACACTAGAAGCCCTTCCGGACTCCAAAGCAATCACAAAACCTCAGCATCTGCCTGCTTCACCTAGAATTGCGTATCAGCCAATCTTTCTCAGAATCCTAGGTGGTCAAAATATCTCTGATGTAGGGATTGTAACTTCAGAGTCGTGTCTCATCTGAAGCAAATGCAGAACACTACAGTGGTACCTCGGGTTAAGTACTTAATTCGTTCCGGAGGTCCGTTCTTAACCTGAAACTGTTCTTAACCTGAAACTGTTCTTAACCTGAAGCACCACTTTAGCTAATGGGGCCTCCTGCTGCTGCTGCGCCGCCAGAGCACGATTTCTGTTCTCATCCTGAAGCAAAGTCCTTAACCCAAGTACTATTTCTGGGTTAGCGGAGTCTGTAACCTGAAGCGTCTGTAACCTGAAGCGTATGTAACCCGAGGTACCCCTGTACCTTATAGAGTCATGAGAACTTCATAAGGCACAAAGGCTTGTCTGTATTACTAGCATTGCATCTGCAAAACTGGAGTTTGCAAGTATTTCTTCCTTGAGAAGTGATACTGCATGTATATTCTGAGTGGGTCTGGTCTGTTTCCCCATCACGCAATAAGGCCTAGACTCTGAAAGGGCTACGTCTCAGTTGGGGCTTCTAGGAACGTGTGCTACAAACCCTATAAATATTTATAAGCCATTCAGTCTAAAGACCTTGTAGTTCCCGTTCTGAAGGAACACACACAAATATCAGATGAAATAGACACCCTTTCCCCAGGGAATATTACCAAAGGGCTAATAAAATTAACGCCGAACCGCTGAGTTCTAATATTATGTATTCTCAAGACTTATTTATAATTCAGTAAATGAAATCCAGTTGCACACAGTATAATGGATGGAACCCATGCTGTGTTTATCTCTTAAAAGGGGTAGAGAATTGCTTGGAATTTTGAAACACGTCCTAAATTTTTTGCTTAAGTGCTTTTAGTGATCTCATCTTTACTTTTCTGGGATGGGGGTCACGTTAGTCATACTCATGACCATGGCTGAACACAAAAAAGGTTGATATTTTGTTAGGGCAGAATAGGTAGAGCCCCATGTTCTTGTAAGGAATTAATGTTATTGAACATTACAAACAGAGATATTGGTGACATCCACATCATACAAACTGCTGACAGGAGTGAGGACTTGTCAGCATCTAACACCTGTGCTCAGATATCTGCAACGCTTTGAAGCCAAAATCCGGGATGCCATCTTCCCAGACACCATCATCCTGTTTTTTACTGTAAGAGCACGGCAGCCATTTTGATTGCCATGTTATAGTGTTATTTCATCCCCTCTAAAAAAGGTGCTTTTGGGGCACAGCAGCTGAAAACATACGTTTTGCAGCACCCCGTGAAATCACAGTCCTTAAAAAAGCACTTTTTGGGGGGGGGGAATCGCGTTGTGAAATCGTGTGAGATCACAGCAACCAAAATGGCCGCCTATCTCTCGTAATAAAAAACAGGATGTCCTAGTTTTTCCAGGACATTTGTGGGATATGCTGCTAGAGTTGCTGATTTGCTACTGGGTCAGGTTTAAGGTATTGCTGTTAGTATATAAAGACCATAAGAATTTGGGACCAGTTTACCTATGATTGCACTCAACCTCTTTGATCAGCAGAATTGGCATCATTACAGGTACATGATACCTGTTCAACGTTTGTTAGGAACTTGATTGTTTTGCATTGCAGCGCTTATACTTTGGAATTCCCTGCCTATTGATATCAAGCACATATTCTTTTCAGTGCCTGCTGAAAAACTTTCTTCTGCTGTGGTGTAAACCACTGAGCCTCTGGGCTTGCCGATCGGAAGGTCGGTGGTTCGAATCCCTGTGACAGTGTGAGATCCCGTTGCTCGGTCCCAGCTCTTGCCAACCTAGCAGTTCAAAATCACGTGAAAGTGCGAGTAGATCAATAGGTACCACTCCGATGGGAAGGTAATTTGCGTTTCCGTGCGCTGCTCTGGTTTCGCCAGAAGCGGCTTAGTCATGCTGGCCATATGACCCAGAAAAACTGTCTGCGGACAAACGCTGGCTTCCTCGGCCAGTAAAGCGAGATGAGCGCTGCAACCCCAGAGTCGTTTGCGACTGGACTTAACTGTCAGGGGTCCTTTACCTTTACCCAACTGCTTAGAAATGCTATTGTGAATTTTAATCTGTTTTAATAGTTTAACCTTTTGTATGTTTTTGGCCTAGTATACCTGAAGAAGCATCTCCACCCCCATTGTTTAACCCAGACACTGAGGTCCAGTTCCGAGGGCCTTCTGGCAGTTCCCTCTCTGTGAGAAGTGAGGTTAAAGGGAACCAGGCAGAGGACCTTCTCGGTAGTGGAGCCCACCCTGTGGCATGCCCTCCCACCAGATATGAAGGAAATAAACAACTATCTGACTTTTAGAAGACATCTGAAGGCAGCCCTGTTTAGAGAATTTTTTAATGTTTGATGTATTGTCATGTTTTTAATATTCTGTTGGGAGCCAGAGTGACTGTGGAGGCCCGGCCAGATGGGTGGGGTATAAGTAAATTGTTGTTGTTGCTGCTGCTGTTGTTGTTCCTCTTCTTCTTCTTCTCTTTTATTGATTGTTATTGCTTTAGCTTTTTGTAAACCAACTTGAGGGTTCTCATTTTTTATTGATTCCTATTGTTTTCCCTTTTTGTAAACTAATATGATTGTTGTTGTTGTTTAAAAAAATCAAGTGGTGTTTACTAAAGCAACTAACTAAAATAAAACAAAATGCAAAATAAAATACATTTAAAGTGCACTGAACCTTTCTACAAGCTCCATTTCCCAGGCTCTCAAGCACATGCTACTCTTGTCTTAGCAGAATTAGAAGCACCAGGAAGGACCAGCCTAGACCTCATTTCTTCCCCACTGCTGCCACAGCAAGAATGGGTGAGAGCAGCAAGGGAGAAGAGAGGAAAGGAGAACACACATAATGCAACCTAAGCTAGAGGAGATTTACTGTGGGTTGTGAAAGGATAGCTGCCCTAGTGTTTGAAATACAGGCCCACTTTAAGAACATGCCAAAAATTCATATTCAGAACGGGACAGCTCCAAGACTTTTTGACACCGCTAATTCTCATGGATATGATATTTGGCCAACAAATGCTGTCATTTCTCCGCATTTAAAATCTCGGTCAAAATCAGTGCAGATTTCTAATAAGCAGCTTGTTACTTTGAGGACGGCAGCTACCCGCCACTAGATGTGACCGATGTATAATTTCTGTGCAAAGCCGGGGATTTGGGTAGCAAGAGGACCTGTGGAATTATGCAGTCAGAGGTGGATTTTCGCAGATTCTTTGAAAGCAGGACAGCCAAGGCGCCTGCTGCTTTCTGGTCATCCCCTCGCAAGAATGTCGACTTTCTCCTGCCTGCAATCGCATGTATAGAATTACAGACAGATAGAGGTCAGCTTGAAGATTTGCGTTTCCATAGGACTTTCTTATCCTTCCCTTGCAGAAATTGGCTCTGAAGTGCCGCGGATACATGGGGGATCCTTGTCCTTTCTGCTGTTTGATGGGTTCTGAGGCATAAAAAACTCTGCAGCCTCTTCGTTCAAGATCCCAGGATGGATTTGAACTGCAGTTGGAGAGGTGAAAGGCCCAGATAACATGTGTGGTTGTCTTCCCCCAAAACAGCTGGAGCAGCATCCGTATCTTTTGTTCTGCATGAAGCTCAGCCACACTTTATTCTAAAAGGAGGAGAAATGGGCTGCTTCACAGGCAGGGTTTCCATCCTCCTCTTTTGTCCCCCTCCCCGTCTTCCTCCTCCTCTCAGATAATAGCAAAGTGTCTCTAATTCAAACCAACTGAACTAATTGGTCCAAAAAAGGATGTTAACAGCCCAGTCTACTAGGCTGTGTTCAAAACAATTGTTAGCAATCAATAAATCCTGCCGGATTGTTTGATTTCATTAAAGATGTATTTGTTAACTAAGCAGCTGGCACCCAAACAGCTGCTTTAAATAGGGAGAAATTGCCATGTTCTGTTTTAGCGTGTTCTTTGCTATTTTCTTTGCACACTTCCGGAGACAATACCTACCATAAAATTAAAAATTAAAAAAATGACAAGGAAATTCAGACTGTCAGGGTTAGAATTATGGCAAGTCAATGAAAAGAGGGTGCCAATATCAACACTAAATTAGGGAATGGGGAGAAAATTGATCCGGTTTGCATTTAAAGTCAACCCTTCCTAATTCACACTTTCTGAAGCAAACCTAAACACAGTCAACTTTTGAAATTCACGCTTCTTCGTATTTTGCAATGCTGTTCCCCAACCAAGTAGTGTGCACAGCAATGCATATACTAGGATAAAGTGTGCATGGAAATGTATCTATTACGGTGGTACCTTGGGTTACAGATGCTTCAGGTTACAGATGCTTCAGGTTACAGACTCTGCTAACCCAGAAATAGAACCTTGGGTTAAGAACTTTGCTTCAGGATGAGAACAGAAATCGTGCGGTGGCGGCGCGGCGGCAGCGGGAGGCCCCATTAGCTAAAGTGGTACCTCAGGTTAAGAACAGTTTCAGGTTAAGAATGGACCTCCAGAACGAATTAAGTTCTTAACCCAAGGTACCACTGTATTAGTGAAAATAACATACAGAAACACATTATATTAGTTGAAATTGCTTTGCAGAAATGGGTATGTTAGGCAAAATTGCATACAAACACGGGTATATTAGGAGGAATTTGCACCAAAATACTAATGAATCCGCATGAGGACTTTTTATTATTAAAAATAACCACAAACTGTTGTGGAAATGTAAAGAGCTGAATTTAAGATTGGAAAAAAATGAGAAATTGAGAGAAACTGAAATGGACAGCTTCACCCCTCCTTAGTTTGGATGGGACGTTACTGGACTTAACTTATGCTCAGATTGGAATGCAGTTCACAGTCTGCTTTAATTTTATGATGCAAATGTATTTGCTAAAACATGCTAAAATATTTGCTAAAATATTCAGAAAAATGAATATTTTAAGGGACAAAGCATACAAAATGTGTGAAATACAGGAAAGTGCATACACAAATGCATATAATTTAAATGTGGTTTGTTTGTTTTTTGATCATTTGTTTCTGATCATAATCCACAATAAACGCGACAGAACATGGATGAGAAAACTGATCTTATCTCTGGGGGGTGGGGGGTGGAATTCTGATGGTGCAAACTCTTTGACAGTGGAATGGACCGCATTGGAAGGTGAGAGGCTCTCTTGTGTGTCAGAGGTTTATATGCAGTAGCAGGACAATCCACCTATTTGTGTGAGTTTTCACAAAGATCTGACTCAGCTCAACCTCCACACCTCGCCTTTGGTTATATGTCAGTGTCCAATGTCTATTGTGGTCCCTTTCTGGCAAACCATAAGGAAAATAAGACAGTAGACTTCTTTTAAAAAAGATAAAGAAAAAACCAAAACGTTTCTATACCTCTGTAGTCTCTCTCTCCCTCCCTCCCTCACCACCTTAGTTGAGATTCCTGCATTGCAGGGGGTTAGACTAGATGGCCCTCAGAGGGTTTGCCAACTCTACAATTCTATTATTCTCTCACCCTCCCTCCCTCCATGCAGGATTTCATTTCACAGAGGCAGAAAAGTTTCTATAGAACTTTCCATTCATCCCTAAGATCTTAGGCCCTGCAGTGCTGACCCCTCCTCTAACATGGTGCTCTCTTGGCAGCAAGTAAAAATTGTCGTACGACGAATGCAAAAAAGAATCTGGCGTAGATGATCTAGCTCAAAACTGCTTGACAGGGAACAGGGACTACTTAAAAGGAAAGGTGCTCTAAAGCATCCTTTTCTCTTCCTCCCACCCCCGTCCTTTTTTTTTGTACCTGTTTCATGACTTTTGTGGTTTTGTAGGCTTTTGGGCCACATGGCAGTGAAGTGCTCTGAAGCCTGCCTTTTAATATGCTCTGAAAGACAAAAGGCTTCCTGTGTGGGGCAGGGCTGGGGGCGGGAGACAAGATGGGTTATCTGTAAGGGATGTGCTGAAAATGCCCTGTAGCACAAAATTACTGCATTCGCAACAACAGCAGCAATCAACGAAGGTTTGGGTAAACTAAGCCTGTCCAGAACTCCTTTGAGAAATGTACCTAGTCAAAATCTGCTTTGCGGTATTTTCCTACAGTCAAGCAGTATATAAATTTAATGAAATGATAACAGCAACAATAATAATAATTTCCAAAAGGAACTGATGGATGCAAAGAAAGCACCATTCAGAACTATGCAGTTTCTTAGGGAAGAGGTCCCCATGTTGCCAACCACACCAGTGTGTTTCAAATAGTGCCCCTAGCAGACATTGTGTTGGGTTGGTGGTGCTCACCTGACCTCTAGTCGGTTGTGTTGCTGCTGCTTACCAGAAGGAGGAGGAGTGGCAAGGTGGCAGGGAGGCTAGCATGGTGCAAACATACTGGCAGAGCCAATCGGGTGCTCCCGTTGCATTTGCAACACGCCACTCTCAGCACCATCCTGACCCTCCCTCTTTACCCCTTGGAAGAAGAAGAAGAAGAAGAAGAAGAAGAAGAAGAAGAAGAGGAAGAAGAGGAGGAGTTTGGATTTGATATCCCGCTTTATCACTACCTGAAGGAGTCTCAAAGTGGCTAACATTCTCCTTTCCCTTCCTCCCCCACAACAAACACTGTGAGGTGAGTGGGGCTGAGAGACTTCAAAGAAGTGTGACCAGCCCAAGGTCACCCAACAGCTGCATGTGGAGGAGCGGAGACGCGAACCCGGTTCACCAGATTACAAGTCTACCGCTCTTAACCACTACACCATACTGGCTCTCTGGTAGGCAACAGTGATGTGACCAATTGGAGGTCAGATGAGTTGCCACTGCATGCCATCAACTGTTGAGTCGTGTTGTATTTGTTCTGTTTTCAAATTTCTCAATATTTCATCCTTTGTGAAAGAGACCTCCATTTTTCTCCCTCCTTCCCATGACTCATGAGAATTTATTTAGAATTTAGGAGAGTGTGTCATTCTGACCTTACTTTTGAGGCAACCAAGGATAGCACATGTGCTTTTCTTTCCAGTAAATATTTTTTCCAAGCCTCCCCAGTTGATCACTCTTCTTGATCTGGAAAAGTATGATGGGAGGTGTTACTTCACAGCGCCTTCCTTTGAGAGGTGCATCAAAAACCCTGCGCTCCACCCATGATAATTTCACTGACATTTTCTCTCCCCTTCTCAGATGCAGTTTAAATGATAGGGAACAGTAAGCAAAAATGCAGGAGTAACTTTTAGCATTGCACTAGTTTTCAATAAACACAATAGCGATCGAAATTTACAGGTTCCAGTTTGAATGACATGCCTGAGGAATGTCAAGGATAGCAAACAGGATTTTGATAGACTACATACACTTCTA